AGGGAGGAAATCCTGACACACACTGCAGTGCAAATACACTTGAGCAAAGTATGCTGTGTGAAATAAGCCAGGCAGAAGAAGTTAACGAGTAAACTGGATATAGGGGCGCACACCTGTAGTCCCAGCTCTCAGGAGGCTGAGGCAGGAGGACTGCCACAAATTGAAGACCAGTCTGGGTGAGAAAAAAAAAAGAAAAGAAAAGAAAAGAAAAGAAAACTTCCTTCAGCAGAAGCTTTTGGAATGTTCTCCACTACTTCAACAGTGCTTACTACAGATGCAATGAATTAATCAACCGCGGTGCTGTTTAATGTCTACGCTTCATAACACCCAACAGCAGGAGTGGCTCTCCACTCAGGTCTGGCAGTTGATTCTGCAACTGAAACGAAATGAAATTCTCAAGTTCCTGTTAAAGTAAGAAATCCAGCACTGTGTTGGGCGTTCACTTTCTTCCTTGTAATAAATGGGAGAAAAACACCATCTTGTGGTAAGGAGCGCCTTCCGGCTTGACGGGACTGCTTCCCCTCGGCGGCTGAGCTCGGAGTGAATTACAGGCCCAGGCGTTGCCAGGGCGACAGCATCAGCCAAGGCCGCCTGTCGGAGCCGTGCCTTCTCTGGGAAAGTTATGGCTGCAAAACCAGCAGCAATTTCTCACGTCTTTGGCTCTCGCAAGGTTATTTTGTGCAAAATATATTTCCAAGGACGTATTTATGGGCTCAGAAAGTGGAACACACTGCCCACTCCAATAGCCATAGATCTCCGTGCTACACAGGGCTATAAAACACACTTACATTCTTCCCAATATTTTCATCTTATCAAACTAGACTCTTGAATTAGTTTTATGGCATGGAATAATATCTTTTTCTCCTTGCTGTTCTCTCTCTGTCTTTCTCTCCCCCCTCTCTTTTCTTTTGTATAGCTATAAAAAAGATACATGCGGCTGGGCAGATAGGTCAGTGGTCTAAGCCCCTGCCTGGCAGGCACAAGGACCTGGGTTCGATCCCCGGTACCGCATGCTGTGCTGGACCCAGAACCCTGGGTGCACTGTGCTGGCCACAGAAACCAGACATGGTGGCCCACGCCTGTAATCCTAGTGCTGGGGAAGCTGAAACAGGAGGATGACTACAGCGAGACCCTGTACCAGATGAATAAAAGATTAAGGGCCGGTGAGATAGTTCAGTGGTCTAAAGCTCCTGCTTAGGCAAGCTTAGGCAAGGTTAGGCAAACACAGGGATCGCTGTTTGATCCTGGCACCACATGCCGCACCAGCCCCACCCCCAGGGCAGGCTGAGCTGGCCACCAAAAAAAAAAAAAAGAAAAAAAAGATACAGCACTACTTGAAGCAGGGATGACATAAGTTTGAATCTAGCCTAGGCTACTTAGAGACTTTCCCCTTGACCTGCTCTCAAGGGGAAAAAAAAAAAATAAAAAAGAGCAAGAGAGCGGCTAGGTGGTGACTGGTGAGGCACGCCTGTGATCCCAGCACTGGGGGTGCTGAGGCAGGAGGATAGCTGCGAGTTCCAGGCCAGCCTGGGCTACGAAGTGAGTTCAAGGCCAGCCTCAATACCGTCTCAATAACCGCCCCCGTCCCACGAAACAAAGATTTAAAAAGACATTCTCCACTTCTTCCTTAACTGCATTTCAGGGATGTGGGGCTGGAGGCTGTTAAGGCCGAAGTCCTCAGGCTGTTGGGCAGCTCTAAAGACAGCTGCTTTCCCAGCAGGAAGCTAAGCTGGATGTTGGGCATGGGGCGTGGGCACGCAAGGCATGAGCCGTTGGCTCACGCCTCTGGGGCAGAACACGGCCGACACAGCCAGAGGGGAAACACTCTACTTGGGGCTACACTGGGCTCTGTTCCCACAGAGCGCCGCGGTGGCAGGTGCAAGGGGCGCAGGGCAGCGGGCAGCCCTGTGGTCTACAGTCTAGTCTGAGGGCCAGGGCTGTGACAAGAAGAAGAGATACTGTCCTGCGATGGCTTCTGGTTTCCTGGTGTCCAGAAAGGGCACGATGACAGCCTGATGACAGTCAGGTGACACTAGCTGCACTCTGACGCCAGTGTGTGACCTCTCCCCACTCTGGGCAGGCCCCAGTTTCTGAGGACCCCAGTGCAGGTCAAAAGAGTGAACTCACTTGGGACACACACTGCTGGGGCCAGCCAGATCCCAGGACGGAGGGCTCAGCCCCACCCAGAGCCTCCACCAGGGGCCAGCTGAGAGTGGCCAACCCTAGGTCACCCACACATCTGTCAGATGTGGCTGTGGCGCTGGGCTTCGTGAACAGCTCGGGAACCTTGGAGCAACAGAGGGTGAGGTATCCAGTGTCACAGGGGCCATCCTGAAACCTTGCTCCCGGCCCCTCTGGGCCAGCTGTGTGCCAGCCGAGAGGACAGGTCCCAAGGAAGTGACCTTGGTGACGCTCGGGCTCTGGGGTGTCGGGTCGGAAGCAGGAGGCCAGCCAGGCTGCAGGGACTCTGGGCTTGAAGCGTGTGCAGCAGTAGTCACTGTAGGTAGGCACTGCGGGCTGCAGGCAGTGTGAGGTCAGCCCAGGACCGTAGCCACTCAGGGCGGCCTGAGGCTCAGACTCCACAGCTGGCGTGCACTGCAGGCTCACTGGGACACCGCGGGAAGAGGAAGGCCAGGCTGAGCACCAAAATACACTCTGAGTACTTGGAGCCGGGTGCCTGCCAGGGAGGAGGATGTGGGAGTCCCAGCCCCTCTCCAGCCCCAACAGCTCTGGCAGAGCGCAGCCCGCCTGAAGCACAGGCTGGGGAAAGAGGCGGGGCTCTTCTCAGAGCACTAGGCCTGCCGGTCCCACCTTTCGGGGAGCCCAGGAGTCTGCTTCCTCTGCCCCCTTCTGGAAAACCACTCCTCGCTTTCCCCAATCGCAGACTCCTGCCTCCTCTACCTGAGACACCAGGCACCAGCCCTCTCTTGCCTCCAGACTGGGGTGAGGCCCTTGGGCTTTGGCTTTCCAGGGGGCAATGATCTATTTGCACCCCATTTGGCCTGTTAGGCCCCCAGCGTCCTGCTGGACTCCGGAGCCCTGGCTGCCACCTCCTTCCGCATCAAAGTCCAGTAGTCAACACCGTCTGTCTCCAGGAGACCCGAGCTCTGGCTGGCCCTGCCTAAAGAGCCAAAGAAACCGTCCATCCCCTCTTTTCCAGGAATCTCTCACCTGCCCGCCCCTTTACTCTGAATTGCAGTTTGAATCTGATGGCCAGGTAAAGCTGCTGGTCACCCTGCAGAGGGTAGAGGTGACTCAGAGCAGCAGCAGCACAGGGTCACAGCTGGCAGCTCCCTGCCTGGAGGTGCCTCGCCCCTGCCAGGAAATGAGGTGTCACAAGCCCAGCTGCATAAGCCCGTTAGGGAAGGGGAGAGCCCATGGAGCACCCTGGCTGGCTGGGTCTCACCTCCATGGCTCTGTGGAAAAAGTGCGGAGAGGGAATCGCTTTAACCTGTTACGTTCATTCAGCCAACTTGAAGGAAAAAGTAGCTTGGGTGCAGGGGTGCATGGCTGCAATCCTAGCCCTCTGAGAGGCTGAGGCAGGAAGACCGCAAGTTAGCATCTGTTCTTTTTTTTTTTCCATTTATGTATTTGGTACAGGGTCTCGCTGCGCAGCTCAGACTCATAGTGATCCTCCTGTTTTCAGCCTCCCCAGCGCTGGGATTGTAGGCATGCGCCACTATACCCGGCTCAGTCACTGGTGCAGCGTGCTCCAGGGGCAGGGCCGGCGCAGCGTGCGGACCGCGGATGGAAACCCAGTCCCTGAACTTGCCAAACAAGCACTTAGTCTGCTGAGCTATCTTGCCAGTCAAGCTTGCTACTTAATGAGTCCCGAACTCAAAAGCAGGAGGTAGGGTTTGGTGGGGTGTGCAGCTCAGCGAAAAGCTTTGGGTTCAACCCCCAGTACTGTGCAAGTGTGTACAGTACACACACACACACACACGCACGCACGCACACACAGAGGTGCATGCACAAAGCAGCTAGTAAGAGCTGCAAGGAGCATAGCGAAGCTTGACTGAGTAACTCCCACTCACTAAAGACACGGGCCAGATCCTTTTTTTTATGTGACCTGAGTTACGTGGCACAACAAAGCACTCTAGGAGAGCCCACAGAGATAAAGAGTACTTCCTGTCGGAGCCCACCTCAGCCTTTGACCTTTAATATGTATTGTAGGTCATTGGCCTTGGACCTCAACTATTCCATCTGTTAAGTGGGAGTTTACAAGTAAACTGCAGTGAAGACGACTACATTCCGTTTAGGGTGGGCTGCAGCAGGAAGAGCAGAAGTTTCTCCTTGGCAGCGACTTTTAGGCTGAGGCAGAATGACTCCAGCAAGGGTGCAGTTGGGGTTGTTCCATTGGAACCTTCCCACCGCCCCTTTTGCTCTGTGATACTGCGCATGCGCCGAAGAGCCCAGCCACCACAACTCCCGGAGGGTTCCGCGCTCCCGCGGCGGCCTCGGCACTCGTGCTCCAAGGCGCACGCGCAGCCTACGCCTCGAAGCCTCGCGTAGGGACCACAATTCCCAGAGTGCTCCGCGCCCTCGCCGCCGCCGCCCCCGCCCCCGCCGAGCAACATGGCGTCTAGTGAGTGGGGCGCCGCTGGCTCTCCGGGTTCCGGGAGGGGCCGGGACCGCGGGCGGGCTGGGGGCGGAGGCGCGGCGCAAGGCTAAGGCGTCCTGGGGTCAGCGTAGCACGCGCAGTCATCAGGGACCCCTGCAGGGCGGCTGGCACGAGGGGGCTAGAGGTCACACGGACAGCCCCGCAAGGGTGACCCTCGCCTTCCACTCTAGGAGTCGCAGCCTTCCTCAAGAACGCCTGGGCCCAGGAGCCGGTGCTGGTCGTGTCCTTCGCCATCGGGGGCCTCGGTGCGTGAGTTTCCCCGGCGCGGACGCGCATCCTCCGCCGCTCTGCCTTCCACCCGCACAGCCCCACGTTCGCCGCGTCGAAGCGGCGGGGACCCCTCGTCCCCACAGCCAGTATCTGTGCGCCCAAGCGGTGCACACCCCGTTACGCGGCACAGCCCAGATGGTACCCGGGGACACCCGCAGCGCCGAAAGGACGACGCTGGGAACTCACGTTGCGCGCCTCCTTCCCTCCCCGACTCTGGATTGTGGGTTGGGAGTCTTGGGTCTTAAAATCTCCGACTGAGAACCCGCCACAGCACTGCTCACACTTCGGGGTGCCCGGGTCGCCGGGCTGGCGTACGGGGTCCAGTTGTGCAGCTCCTAGGGCTGGGGTGGACCCCGGATTCTGCCTTCAGCGGCTTCCAGGCCGGGGCCGTCCCGGGAGCGCCCGGAGCACGCACTGCGCGAGGCGCGCCGGCCACCGTGGGCACTGAGCGCTGGCGTGCGGCTGGCGGAGCCGAGATGGTGGCAGACACCGGATTTTAGACCCCAGCATTTATTAGTTATGTGGGAAATGGCAGTGGTTAGGTCATACCAAGCTAAGCTCGTTGTTGCTGTGGCTGTTAGAAAACTAGAGCACAGACCGACCCCTTGCCAGGGACTGCTTTCCCTGGTGGCAACAGTCCTTTCCTCTGGAACATTCCCAAGATCCCTCATACACCATGACCACACACTTTCAGAATTGTCTCCTTTTTTCCTGTCCTCACTCTTAGCACTGACTCATCTGAACACTGGGCTCTTTCCCTGTTTTCACCTTCACATCATTGGTGGGGACTGTGGGGTGCGAGGGGCCCCGAGCAAGCTGCCTACTGAGGTGACCTTGATGACCCCACCCCATCTCTCCACAGCTATAATAATGCCCCCTATCAGTCCCTACACCAAATACTCCAGCATGATCAACCAGGCCACGCCCTACAACTACCCAGGTGAGTGGCCCTTTCTGGGAGAGGCGGCCCTTCTGCGGTAGTCAGGACACGCAGCCCAGATTCCTGGGGATTGACAGCCCCCTCCCTCCTAGACTTGTTTCTGCCTATATTCCCATGTCTGCTGCTTTTCCCTTCCCGGTGTCCCCCATTCTCTGACTCTCATACCGGTCTCCCTGGGTCCTGCCTTCGAGTATAAACTAAAAGCCCCTTGGGCCTCTTCCAGGGGCCCGGGCGCTCCACCAGTTTCACTGGCTCACCTTCTCCTCCCATAGTGCCCGTCCGAGATGATGGGAACATGCCTGATGTGCCCAGCCACCCCCAGGATGCCCAGGGCCCCAGCTTGGAGTGGCTGAAGAACTTGTGAGCACCTCTGTAATGGACGGGAAGTGGGCCCCTGCCCTGTCCCCAAATAAAAATGTAAAAGCCAACCCCAGATTCTGAGTGTGTGTGATCAGGGGTGGGATCAGCAGGCAGTGACCAAGACACTTGGGGGTCAGTTTATTGGGGTGGGCTCAGTCAAAGGGGGGGCTGGCTAGAGTAGGGTAGGGCAGCAGTTTGTCAGGCCCCCGAGAGACCCAACTTGAATCCAAAGCCTCGTCTGCTTCAAAGCTGAAGTCCTCTTCAACCTTAATCTGAGGGGACAAGGACAGCGCTCACAGGGCTTTGCAGCCTTGAGACTCGTTCAGGTCTTGCGCTGCTCTCCCCAGCGGGGCTCAGGACCTCCTGTGCCCCGCCCTGTCGCTGCCCTTCTCCAAGCCCTCAGACTCCCAGGCTCCCCAAGCTCCTGCTCACCTGCACGGGGGCCAGTTCTGGGGTCAGTGCAGCGCCCACTCGGCCCCCATCCCGGGGTGCTCGCCGCCTCTTCCGCCCACTGGGCCCCTCACCAGGGGCCGGGCTGCTGGCTTCTGAGGGTGCAGAAGTCCTTCTAGGCGGGGACAGCCCCTCCTTGTCCGGAGGCTCATTTTCCACATTGCCTGGGGTGGGGGTGTCAGTGCCTTGGCTGCCCTCATCCTGGAGGGGAAGGGGCAGGTGAAGGTTGTGTCGGGCTCCCGGCTGCCCAAGCCCGGGAGGAGCTCACCTCCAGCACAATGGTGAACTGGCTGGCGCGGTAATCATCTCCATAGGAGTCCAGCACCCTCATGAGGAACCTGTGTGGACAGAGACGCAGCGGTGGGGCTGCCGAGCGCAGCTTCGCCCTGCTGAACCACTGCCGCTCTCGGCCCAGGGCGCTCGAGCTCTGCAGTCAGAGGCCTGCAGCCGGCCCACCTGGCTGTGGGTCTCGGGTGGTGCTGTCTGGTTGTTGGGTTTCCCGCCTGTAACAGGCAGTGATTGCCAAGGGGACAGGGAAACTCACTGTTGGGTGGCCAGGGTGCCAAGAGGGCTCCACAGAAGGGGAGCACCCACAAATCAAGATGGACCCGGCAACTAGGCAGAGCCATGGGCTGATAGGCATGAGGCTCCTCCCACCTCCCTGGGGCAGAGCCGGGCGCGGGACACACGTGGGGCACCTGGGGCTGCTGGTCGCAGGGTTGTGTGGGGCGCTCTGAGCTCAGCGCTCAATCTGTGTACACTGGTGGCACCCTTATGCAGCTTGGAGGGTGCTGCTCGCTCTGGGTCCCGGCAGGCAAGTGCTGAGTGTGGAGTGCTGTGCTCTGCACCCAGGGACTCCTGGCCACGGCCCCATCTCCCCCGCATCTGGTCCTCGAGCATGTGTAGGGGTGAGACATGCGGGACAGCTGGCTTGGGGGGGAAGGACAGCAGCAGAGGGGAGGGCTACCTGCGCTCCTGCTGCAGCCTCCGAGTTATCCGCTGTACCTGGTGCAGCCGGTCCAGCACGCGCTCGTTCACCTGTGGCGGGGAGAGTGGCGGCCATCAGCTCCGCTGTTGGTGCCTGCTTGCTGTGCGGTGGAGCTCCTCCTTCCCCACCTCCTGTCCACAAAGGCTTGCTGGCTCTCAGTGCACATGCGCACTGCTGTCTTGGTGGGGGTACCCCCACCGCTGGACTGGGCGCTGGATAGGACCTATGCAGTGCACTACATCCACAGCCCTGTTTTGGTTCTGTATTTTTTTTTTTTTTTTTTTTTTTGCAGCACCATGGATCGAACTTGGGACCTTGCGCTTGCCAAGCAGGCGCTTATGCCGCTGAGCTATCTCCTGGGCTCTTGTTTTGCATTCTGACTAAGTTGCTCTTAACTTGTGACACCCCGTCTTGACCTCCTGGAGGCTGCACCACAGCACCTTGCTTGCCAGGGGCTTTCAACATGCTGTTCCCTCTGCTGGATCGGCTCTCACCGCTGTCACCTGCAGAGGGAGCCCCAGCCTGTTAACATGAGCCAACTCCGCACCCCACCAGCTCAAGCCAGGTGTTCACTGCTCCTGTGGGCTTCCCCCACCCCCGTGGCTCACCTAATCCAAACGTATTCTTTCTTCCCTTACTGTCTGCTCCCCATCCCAGTGCATGCCCCACCAGGGCAGGGATGGCGCCTGTGTCCTGTGCTTTTACAGAGCAGCACTTGCCGGCCTCAGCCCCACCTGTGGAACTGTGGCTTCAGCACTGAGTGTCTGACTGACAGCAGGAATGGCTGCGTAGGGGGGCTGGCACAAGGCCTGCGGGGCATGCTTGACCGGCGGTGAGGAGAGCAGCTCGCAGGAGGGCAGCAATCTGAGAGCCCAGCAGACACTAGGGGAGACAGGCGATGGCCAGAGAGCCCCGAAAGGTGCCCTGGAAAGGCTGGGCACACTCCTTCAGAAAGGGCTGCTGGCACTGAGACCACAGCACCTCAGCATGACTGTTTCTAAAGATGGTGTCCACAGAAGTGAGCAAATTAAAATGAAGTCTCTGGGGTACACCCCAGCTAAGTGGCTGCTGTCCTCGTGGAAAGGGAAAACAGATGTGGATCGGCACATGGACCAGCACGTGAGAGCGGAGGCGGGGGCAAGGGTGATGCTGCTACCAGTCAACACCAAGGCTGCTGAAGAGTCCATCATAGCCCTGGGGACCAGCCTGTGGACACTCTGGTCCCAGATTTCTAGCCCCTAAATTGCAAGACAAAGCCAGGCACAGGTGCACGCCTGCCATCCCAGCACTCTGGAGGCTGAGGCAGGAGGCCTGCCCTAAGTTTGAGGCAAGCCTGAACTATGGAGATCCTGTCTCAGAAAAAAGAAACCTTAAAACTGGAAGACACCAAATGTCTGTCGCAGGGTCACCAGCCTGTGATACTTCAGAAGCTGCAGTGGCCAGACCAAACTCCACATGCTGTCTTCAGGGAGTCTTTCAGAGGCCTGACACCACTCCACCCACCCCTTAAAAACCCTTCAACTGCCCAGACCAACGCTCAAAAGAAAAACAGCTCCAACGTTCCTGCCCTGCTGCTCTTGCCCGTTAGGATTTGAGCTCACGGAGCCCACCCGGGAGGGATAAGGAAGGACTCAACTGAGATCCGGGTCTAGGGCAGGAAGAGAACCCAGGCGAGTCTGGGGCATCTCCCGTCAGGGAGGCTCGGAGCGGGCGGCTGCATCGAGGGCGTGACCCAGCGCGGGACCCCACACTCACCTACCTACCTGCTCGATCTCCCGGCAGCGCCGCACCAGCGCCTGGTACTTCCTGCGGTTCATCTCCCGCTGGCGCCGCCGCTGTCCCCGCTCCGCCTCTTCCTCTTCATCGCGCTCCCGGAGCCCCGAGCCCCCCAAGCCGCCGGACACGAACTCCACTTCGGTCTCTAGCTCACTCTCCAGGATGTGCCCGCCGAACAGGGGCGGCAGGGCCAACTCTGAGCCAGGCGGTGCCGAGAACTCCTCGAACCCCACCGCTGCCATGGTCCTGCAGGGCCAGAGGGGTTGAGGGGCGCCGTATCCCAGCTCTGCAACCCCCATTCATTCCTCAGCCCTCCTCCTCCGTCCTTCCCGGCCTGTTAGACCCGCGTGATCCCAGGTCTTCTCCCGTGCAGACCCTGCCCCTCCCAGGGCTGTCTGTACAGCAGGCACACGGACTACCATCCTCAGCGGGCCCCGAGTCAGGGGCTGCGCGTCGCGGGCCGCAGCATCCTCCGGGTGCGCGGCCGGTCCGGCTCCTCCACTCACCCCTCTCTCTGCTCCAGCTCCATCTCGGCCGCGCCGGCGCCCCAGGCCACAGCACTCCAGCCCCAGGCGTCTAGGTTGAGCCGTGCGCAGAACTACCGGTCCCATCAGGCTTCGCGGCCGAGGAACACGGCCTTCTGGAAGTTGTAGTTTCCTATTTCCGGCTTCGTTCCCTCAGCCCGGGTTGCCCCAGCCGAAATCGCGGTTTAAAGGCCTTCCCTTCTTCCCTACTCCGCTCCCAGTCGTCTGCGCTACTACCACCTTTATTCTGATCTCGGCCCTCCGCAGTCTTGGCGCGGCGACTCGCCTGAAACCGGCTCGGTCCTTGGGGCCACGAGCCCGCTGAGCCCCTCTCCGGGCCCGCTCACGCGTCTAAGCCCAAACTCGGGCTAATACAGTTCTGCCGACTGGCCAATCAGAGCGCGGCTGTGCCGGATAGCTGTGCGCTGCGTCATCAGAGAGCGCCGGCCGCTGCCGTGACGCTAATTTCCTAGGAGCAGCCGTGAGCGGAGGGAAGAGGTGAGCGTTTCGGGGACCACGGGAGGGCGGGAGGGCTGGAGGCCAGACTCTTGCGTCGGCAGGAGGAAGCTTATGAGGAGAACGCCGGGCCTTCACAGGTCGGTCGCCCAGAAGCCTCGTATACCCCTCCTGTGCTCTGGCCCTGTCAGGAGTGGGATTATTTCCCGCCCTCATAGAGCTTTAAGTGATGCCCCGGAGTCGGGCTCAGTGAGGGAGTCACATCCAGATCGTGACGCGCGCGGGCGCAGACACGCGGGACTTGGGGGGCGTGTATCACGAAGCAGCCCGCCGGGGCCTGAAAGGGGAGCAGAAGGCTGGGGAGCTGTTGGGCACCAACAGTGGGGCCGAGAGCCATTTTAGGCCAAGGGGACCGGTCTGTGAAGACTGAGCTATCGGTGAGTCGTCACACGGGGTCATTTGGCATCGTAACCTGGGTCGGGATGCGGATGTCGCCGAAGAGCAAAGCGAGGGGAAGCGCCCGACCTCGCGGAGCCTGCTTGTGGGGTTGGACCTTCCAGGAGAGAGGCCCTGCATTAATACAGTGGGACTGGTCAGGTGCAGTTTTACTGAGCCCTGCCCTTCCACCTCCGTAGGCCTCGGGATGTCTCTGGCAGATGAGCTCTTAGCTGACCTCGAGGAGGCCGCAGAGGAGGAGGAAGGAGGAAGCTATGGCGAGGAAGAAGAGGAGCCGGCAATCGAGGATGTACAGGAGGAGACACAGCTGGATCTCTCCGGGGATTCGGTCAAGAGTATCGCCAAGCTGTGGGACAGCAAGATGGTGAGAGGGCATGCGCAGGGGTGCGAGTGCGGGGCTCAGGAGCTCCAGATGAGTGATGAAGCAGTGAGGTCTTTTTGAAGAGCCCCAATGACTCTGCTCTTCCCTGACAGTTTGCTGAGATCATGATGAAGATTGAGGAATACATCAGCAAGCAGGCCAAAGCGTCGGAAGGTACTGCCTCGCCCTCAGCTTGCATTCTCCCTCAGGCCTCATGGCTCTTTCGCTCCTAGTGGCTTCCTGGATTGTTTGTCCCTCTCAAGCTTTCCCAGAGCCCTCCTTTCGTCCATCCAACCTCATTCCACTTCTCCCCCCAAAGCACTGCATGACAAAGTTCTCATTCTATACTGAGCCCTTACTTATTGTGACAGAATTTGGCTCAGAATTCCTCAAGCAGGCTGCACGTGTTGGCACAGGAAGGCCAACAAGTTTGAGCACAGCCTACACAATGTAGTGACTTAGTAAGATCCTGTCTCAAAATAAAGGGCTGGGGATGTAGCTCAGTATCAAGGACCTGGGTTCAGTCCTCACACTGACAAACAAATAGGTAGCTAAACAGAATTCCCAAACTGCAGTTGCAGTTATGGGGTTTTTACATCTATAAACCATGTATTGTATTCTTCTTCAAATCAGTTAACATGCATCCCTTAACTGTATGTAAAACTTAAAGGTATTATTGCTGAGAGTGAAGAAATGGAACCTTCGGGTAAATATGAAGTAACCACGGAATAAGTAGGGTGTTAGGGTGTCGCCTGAAAGCTTTCACCCATGAGTAGGGTGGGCCTATCACCATTCCCTTCTGGGCAGAAGAGGACTGTAGACTCCAGAGTAGAGTTTGATTTTTTTTTTTTTTTGCTCGTTCAGGTTGCCTTAAGGGCGGGTCTGGTAATACAGGTGGAGGTGAGGATTGAACCGCCATATCTTGTGCCTGATTGCATTTGCAGGCACTTAAACAACTGAGCTAACTGCCTGGCCCCCAGAGTGGAGTTTGTCATTACTGGGAAGCTCTGGGAGTTGCTGGGACAGTAGAGTCAGAACACAAGCTTTGGAGCCACACCATACTCCTCCTCTAATCCCTGCTTGGACAGTCAGTGGAACTGGCCCAGGTCTCTGCTTTCGAAGTGCCTGCATCCTGGGCCGCCTGTGGTGGGCGGTGTGCAGCTCCAGGCAGCGTGGAGCTGTGGGAGGGGCCCACTGGCCCTGCCTTCGGGGTGAGGTGCTTGACTGGAGTTGGAGCTTGAGTACACTTGTGGGCAGAGAAGGGGGAACAGGCCCTAGGCCAGGGCGCGCAGCATGGCCAGAACTCGGGAGCACCAAGGAGGCTCTGGAGGGAGCCAGCTCCTGCTGGGGTCCAGGGCTGGCTGAAGTTTCTGGTCCATGGAGCCACTGTGGGGAGTGACATTTCCTGAGCTCAGGCTGGATGTGTGTTGGGGGGAAGGTGCCGTGAAACCCTTCAGGTCAGGTGCTCATTTGAGTCCCGCGGGGGGGTCCAGGTGTGGTGCAGGTGCCGGGGAGAAGTCTGTAGGAAGCTGCACTGTCAGTGCTGAGCTGTGAGAAGGCAGGGGAGCTCTCAGGTGGGCTGGGCAGATGCAGGCTCCCTGCCTGGGGTCATCTCTGCCTGTCAGCTATGCAGCATCAGGCAGTGGCCTCCAGTTTAATTGGAGCTGCCCTGGTGGCCACGGGTGAAGTAAATCAGGCCCTGTATGACACAGGACACCTGAGAGGGTCCCCGTGGCCCTGTGCGTGTCAGCTGTGCTGCTGCCAGGCCCTGATGGTGCTGCGATCGCTATTAGTACACAGAGTGGTTTCCAGAAGCATAAAAGGAGGGAATGTTGGCGGTAGAGGGAACAGTGCCTGCGAAGGTCAGAAGTTGACCAGCCGTACCTGGGCCCGGCCAGTTGCAATCAGTGGAGTCAGGTGGAGGTGTGGAGAGGACAGGATTGGGAGATGGCAAGGCTGTGCTGGGGAGCCTGGATGGAGCCCTGGGCAGCTCAGGTGCAGAACTTGTCCCTGTGGAGCATCCACACACAGAACCCTTTAGTGTCATTCTAGGAGGCCTGTTTGTTAGCCTTGGGACACTGGGGTCCATGGGGGGGTATATGCATGATGGAGTCAAGTCTTGAGAGACCTGGAGGACAGGTTGGTGGGACAGCAGAGTCAGCCTCGCAGCACAGCCTCACCAAAGGTACCTTTCAACCCTGAGCTTCCCCTGCTGTGTGCGGGGTGGCATGGGGTACACTCAGCCTGTTCTTCCACCCATAGTGATGGGACCAGTGGAGGCAGCTCCTGAGTACCGTGTCATTGTGGATGCCAACAACCTGACTGTGGAGATTGAGAATGAGCTGAGTGAGTGCTGGGGAAAGTGGGGAGCCCTGCGGGGGGCCCCTGTGCATCGCCATTAGCCTTTCGCTCTCCCACATCCTGCCCTGGGCCAGCCTGGCTTGCCTGAGGGGGCGCACAGTTGCTTCCCTGAGGGCCTGCCCAGAAGCTGTGTGCATATTTCCTCTCAGAACCTGTGTGGTCTTTGTGCTGGGGTCCAGGGCCAAGATGCGAGCCCGAGATCTGGCTGGTGAACAAGAGTGGCAGTGGGTGTCAGGGACCACTTCAGGGCCTGCTCCCCTCACAGACCACCCCTCCTGCTCCTGCCCCCTAGACATCATCCATAAGTTCATCCGGGACAAGTACTCGAAGCGGTTCCCCGAGCTGGAGTCTCTGGTCCCTAACGCACTGGACTACATCCGTACAGTCAAGGTGATGGAGAGCAGGGGCTGGAGGGCCGGGGCAGGGGCTCCCTGTGGGGAGACAGAGGCCCCACAGGGTCTTCCTGCTGTCCTGGTGGTCCTGGTGTTGCAAGCCACACTTGGGGCCAGTGGCATTTGCGGTGAGAACCAAAGGCTGGTGGGGGAAGGCCCAAGTGGGGGAAGCAGGCAGGAGGTAGGAGGAGGCCAGGGTGAGGCTAGGAGGCCAGAAAGGCCTGGCCTGTCAGATTATGAGGCTTTTTGCTGTTACAGGGAAGTCCAGGATTCAAGAAAGGGGCAGCGCTGGGCACAGAGGCATAGGCCTGTAATCCCAGCAGTCTGGGAGGCTGAGGCACAAAGATTATCAGCTCCAACCCAGCCTAGTGGGCCCCTGCCTGTGTGCAGATGAGGCTGTGGCAGAGGAAGTGCCTGTCAGAGCCGTGCTCTGAGTTGCCGTGGACCCAGCCCATCCAGTGGGCACATCCTCCTGGCCTGCTTCTCCGCCCGCGCTCTGTGGAGCTGCCCATGGTGCTGGGGCTCTAAGCAGTGAACCTTGTGACTGGTGGGGAGCAGGCCCAGCCTTGCTGAGAGACCTAAGGGTGCGGGAGCCGGAGAGCTGCCCCTTCCTTCCTGAGCCCGTCACCCCCTTTGCACTCCAGGAGCTGGGCAATAGTCTGGACAAGTGCAAGAACAACGAGAACCTGCAGCAGATCCTCACCAACGCCACCATCATGGTGGTCAGCGTCACGGCCTCCACCACGCAGGGGTACGGACGGCAGAGACGGCAGAGCCCTGACTCCCGCCACACATGTACCCAGGCCCAGGGCGGGGGGACGTGGGTGGGGCATGTGCGTGTGCGCATGTGCACACAGTAGGGAGGGCAGGCGTGAGCAGCAGGACTTTCAAGAGGACCCATCTGACCCTGCAGGCAGCAGCTTTCTGAGGAGGAGTTGGAGCGGCTGGAGGAGGCCTGCGACATGGCGCTGGAGCTGAATGCCTCCAAGCACCGCATCTATGAGTACGTGGAGTCCCGGATGTCCTTCATTGCCCCCAACCTGTCCATCATTATCGGCGCCTCCACTGCAGCCAAGATCATGGGTGAGGACCGTTCTGTTGCCAGGGTGCTTGCCTCGGAAGTGGGGCCCAGAGCCTGGGGCAGAAGGGACAGAGGGGCAGAGGGGAAGGCGGTGGAGCGGCTCGGCTGGGGCTCGGGACTGGCGGGAGCCTCGCCTGGGCCCCTCTGGCCGCGTGAGGGCACGTGTCCCTTGCGGACCACTCTGGCTCCCACTCAAGCTTGTCCTACCTTTGCCAGAGGCTCTTTCTGGAGTTCTTATTCAGTGGGGTGGGCTCCCCACTCCTTACAGTCGCATGTGGGGTCCCCATCAGTGGTGGGGATGTCTCCCCGATGCTCCTCTCCCCTCGCTATGCCCCTCGCAGCCTCCCTGGAAACAGAACTAGCCCCAGGGCCTGCTGCTGGGAGGTCCTGGTTTGCCGAGTATCCATCCGAAATACAGAGATGGGCCCGAGGGGCGGGGCGCGCCTGTAATCTCAGCACTCGGGAGCTGAGGCAGGAGGATCGCTGTGAATTGTAGGCTGGCCTGGGCTGCATAGTGAGTTCGTGACCAGCCTGATCTGCACAGCAAGATGATGTTTCAAACAGCAGCAGCGAAACACAAAAGCCGCCTGTGGACGGAGTCCGAGGAATGGGGCTGGACGCCTGTGCAGTCAGTTTCCTCCTGGGCTACTTCCTGGGCCTGTGTCCTTGCTGCGCCGCGCACAGCTGCTGCACGCAGGCAGGCAGGCAGGGCCGCAGGCAGGCAGGGCGCGCCGCGCACAGTGGGTCGGCCAGCCCCGCCTCTCCCCCAACCCTGCAGGCGTGGCCGGCGGTCTGACCAACCTCTCCAAGATGCCTGCCTGCAACATCATGCTACTCGGGGCCCAGCGCAAGACTCTGTCGGGCTTCTCGTCCACCTCCGTGCTGCCCCACACCGGCTACATCTACCACAGCGACATCGTGCAGTCCCTGCCCCCGGTGAGCCCCTCTGCCCACTGCTCGGCTCGCACTCTGGGCTAGGTGTGCTCACGTGTGCACCGAGGCCTCACGTGGCACCAGTACGTATGAGAGGAAAGCTGAGCCGGCTTCCGCTCCTCGGGCCCCTGCCGTGGACGCCTGCCCAAGAGGTGGCCTCAGCCTGGCTGCCGGGCACCCCCGGAGCAGAGCCCTCGGCCTGACTGTGTGCTGCCAAGCAAGGCTGGGGCCAGGGCCCTGTGGCCAGGTCAGGCCCTTTCTTCCTCAGCGGTGCTAGTGGCTTCTTGTTGTGGTCACTCACTGTATTTGTGGCCAGGGATTCCGTAGCATCCCCTGTGTTTCCTAACATCCACCTTTATCTCATGGTAGAAAGCATGCATTTCAGGGAATATATGGGCAGGTCTTTTAACTTAAAACACTGCATTTAAAAATTTTATTAATCTACTTACTGGATTGGTTGTTCCCCGCCCTCCCTCCCCCCATGGAGGAATCTTGATCTTTCTACATTCAATTTGTTGTTGTTGTTTGTTTGTTTTTGATTGAACTCAGGCCCTTGCGCTTGCCGGGCAAGTGCTTATTCTCCTGAGCCATCTCCCCGGCCTGATGGGTTGGTTTTTGAGACAGGGTCTTGCTGTGTAGCTCAGGCCCTGAACTCACTGTGTGGCCCAGGCTGGCCCTGCCCCGGGAGCAGTGGTGCAGCACCCACCACCCCCTCCCTCCTCCCAGCAGCTCAGGCCCCGCCTGTGGACGCTGTCCACGCGTGGGAAATGGGACCGTGACCAGTGGCCGGAGCTGAGCCTTGTAGAGGTGGACCTGGGGGACTCCCACGGGCCCTGGACTGGTAGCTTCTATGTCACCTTGTCACTGAGCCAGCTGGCATTATTACCCAGTGCTGCTGCCTGTCAGCTGTGTTGTGCTCCTCATCCTCCCACTCACGGTAAATGGGGCCAAGAGGGGCGACTCTCCAGGCTGGGTGCACGCTGAATCCCGGCACTCTGGGAAGCTGAGGTAGGAGGATCGAAGGTTGGGGCTCACCCGGGCAATGTAGCATCTTAGCAAGACCCTGACTCAGAATGAGAAAACTTTTTTAAGGGCTGGCTACATGACCCATTGCAAAGTCCTGGGTTTGATTCCTAGTACTGCAAGGACAAAAAATCCTGGGCCTCTCAGACTGTCAGGAGCACCCAGGCCCACACAGTGCGGCCTCTTGCCCAGGGTCTAGGTCTGGCCAGCCCTCGTGGAGAGGCGGCCTCACCAGCGCCGTGGTCATCTCTGCCACCCTGGCTGCCTGGCTCACAGATGCCACTCCTTTCCCTTGCTCCAGGATCTGCGGCGGAAGGCGGCCCGGCTGGTGGCCGCCAAGTGCACGTTGGCTGCCCGCGTGGACAGTTTCCATGAGAGCTCAGAGGGGAAGGTGAGCAGCCGCCAGGTGGCCCAGGAGCACCCTGATGGGACAGGCAGAGCCTTTGCAGGCCCGTGTGCTGGAGCACGGGGTGGGGGCTGGTGGGATAGCAGGGCACAGCGAGGGAGTTGTGTCTGAAGGGCTCGGAGGCAGGGCTGGAGCTGGGGTTCAAAGTGGGCGAGGTCTTGGTTGGGCCTCAGCCACCAGTACCCAGGTGAGGGGCAGTAAGGGTGTTGGGGGTTGCGGGGCACCCCAGGGAGGGCACTACATTCTTCACGCTGCCCACCAGGTGGGCTATGAGCTCAAGGATGAGATAGAACGCAAGTTTGACAAGTGGCAGGAGCCACCGCCAGTGAAGCAGGTGAAGCCCCTGCCTGCACCCCTGGACGGGCAGCGAAAGAAGCGAGGGGGCCGCAGGTGAGGGGCCTGGGGTGTGGCAGTGGGTGGGCAGGGCCAGGGAGTAGGGTGGCACCCCCAGCTGACCTCTGACCTCCCAGGTACCGCAAGATGAAGGAGCGGCTCGGATTGACGGAGATCCGGAAGCAAGCCAACCGCATGAGCTTTGGAGAGGTCAGCCGTGCTCCTAGCCCCCAAAATTCCCTGTGGTGACCCTCAGGGCTGCCCATAGGCCTCTGCCCCCAGACCCCAAAGACTTTCCAGGCTGGTTCCTCTGGTCCTGAGGGTCCCCTGCTCTGTGTGTCCCCCATGGACTGCACCCCAGGCCCAGTGCCCTGGTCCTGCAAGGCCCCAACCTGGAGTAGCCTCAGCAGGGCAGCTACCCATGCTCCATGACAACCTCAGTTCAGCTTGGCTCAAGCAGCACCAGGACTCAGGCTGGTTTCCTGCATCCCCAGCGCTGGAGCAGGGTGCTTGGGCTGGGTAGTGCCTCAAGTCAGTGACTAGGCCCTGACAGAGGGGATGCCTGGCTGCACAACATCTGAGTCTTTCCTTCCCCAGATTGAGGAGGATGCCTACCAGGAGGACCTGGGCTTTAGCCTGGGCCACCTCGGCAAGTCGGGCAGTGGGCGTGTGCGGCAGACACAAGTGAACGAGGCTACCAAGGCCAGGATCTCTAAGACACTGCAGGTATGGCCGGGCTGGGCTGAGGGTCCAGGGGTCTGGTGGCCAGATGAGTCCGGATCACAGCCCCTCCCTCCCGCAGCGGACCCTGCAGAAGCAGAGCGTGGTATATGGCGGGAAGTCCACCATCCGGGACCGCTCCTCAGGGACTGCCTCCAGTGTGGCCTTCACCCCACTCCAGGTACCCCACTCTGGCTCGCCCCACCCCAGCCCTAGTGCCCTGCAGTGCTCCCCACGGCAGTGAAGCCCCTGGTGGGGCTGGTGTGGAGGCTGTGCCCCTGCAGTCAAAGGCTCGGGCAGCTTTGGGCACTGTGCCCACAGAGTTGGGTCTAGGACTGTGTCCACAGTCTGAGTCCCTGGTGGCCCACTTGTTATGACTGAGGTGACCTTGCAGCTGCACTCAAGGTCAAGTTCACAACCAGGTGAACTTGGATGCCACCCCAGTTCAGGTCCCAGCCTTGCAGTGAAGAGCAGTGTGGAGCTGGGTGCCTGTACCTCCCTTGCCTTAGTTTACCACAGAGTAAAGCGAGGCTGTCCCCTTGTCAGGATTGGTGAGCGCACATCTGTTGAGCCATCATGCCCCAAGCACTGCTCTGGAGCTGGGAAGAAAGAACAGCAGGGAGACAGGCTTGGTCCCCTGGAGGTTGTAGGTAGTAGGGGACGCTGAATTAGAAGGCGGTGGGTGTCAGGGAGAAGCAGGCAGGAGATGGGGGTCTTGGTTTCAAAGCGGCCAGGAGGTCTTAGCAAGAATTACCACGTTGAAAGCAGTCTGGCTAGGGCTGACGAGACAGCTCAGTGGACTAAGTGCCCGCTTAGGCAAGCGCAGGACTGGGGTTCAATCCCCAGCACCTCACGCCCACTGGCCCCACTCCTGGGCACGCTGAGCAAGACCAGGAGGGTTGGTGCATGCCTGTAATCCCAGTGCTGGAGAGGCTGAAAACAGGAGGATCGCTACAAGTCCGAACTGCGTAGTGAGACCTTGTACCAGATACATCTAAAAACAAAACAAAACAAAAAACCAGAAAGAAAACAGTTCGGCTGAGGTGTACACTTTTGACACCCCAGCCCTCTGGGAGGGGGAGACAGGAGCATCGAGAGTTCCAGCCTGGCCTGGGCAACTTAGCGAGACCCTAATTCAGAGTAACAAGCGCTGGGGATGGAGCGCACTACTCAGGTGTCAATTCCTAGTACTGAGGAAAGGAAGAAAACAAGTACCAGGCTGGCATTACCATTGTCTGTGGTGTTGCGCTTTGTGTTGGCGCTTTAGGCCGGCCGCCTCCCTCTGGGACTCCGTCTCCTCCTGGGCAGCCCAGGAGGGAGGGAATGGGTTTCCTCAGAGGGGGTACGAATCCAGCCGTCTGCCAGTCCCTTCCCCCAGCAGGGGCCCAGAACCTGGCAAGTCACCTGCTCTTCCTGTCCAGGGCCTGGAGATCGTGAACCCACAGGCGGCTGAGAAGAAGGTGGCCGAGGCCAGCCAGAAGTACTTCTCCAGCATGGCCGAGTTCCTCAAGGTCAAGAGTGAGAAGAGCGGCATCACATCCACCTGAGGCCCTGCTGCCGCTGCTGAGGGAGGCACTGGGGCACGAGGTTCCGCAGAGCGAGCTGCTTGCCTTTGTCACGGGCCGGGCCAGGAGGCCCTCGAAGACGCCCAGGATGGAGACCGCCCCACACAGGCAGAGCAGGTCTCGTGTGCACGGCGAAAGGAGATGCTTTTTGTGGAAAGAGCACAATTAAAAGCGCGGCGTCGAGCTTTGTCCAGGGCGCGTGGTTGCTCGTCTGCTCCTGCGAGAGCCAGAGCGCCTGACCCAGCCGGGTGCCCCGCCCTCCCTGCAGCTCTGCGCGCTGCCTGCCCTTTCATTCCACGCCTGCCTCTTCCGTGGTGCCGCTGCCGCTGTGCTAGCCTTGTCCCCTGGGCTGGGCTGCACTTTCCAGCCAACCGTAGCCTCCCCAGGGCACGGTTTAGAAAGATGGAGAGGATGCGTGGCGCGGTGCCCACCAGGACTCCTGGCGCCCGGGTGGGGTTGGTGGGTAGGGGGCCTCCAGGCCTCTGAGAAAGGAAAGGCAGGTGGGCTTCTTGTCTGGTAGGAACAAGTTCTGGCTATACAAGTTCCTGCCAGGTGAGGTATAGGATTGTGCATGCGTGTGTGTGTACACACACACACGCGCGTGCGTATGCACGCATGTAGTCGGGCATGGGCCCAGCCCCAGGGGCACTCACAGAGCTGGAGAACATGTGCGCGTTCAGAAGGTGTCTTGGGACCAAGGTTCCCATGAAGCTTAAGGAAGAGTGGCTTCTGGGCTCCGTAGGGGTCCCAAGGAGCCCTGGTCCCTCAAGTTCTGAGGTCAGGGCTTTCTGTCTTTTGAGGCAGAGTTTCACTACTTCAGGTGGGTGTCGAACTTACCAGGTAGCCCAAAGTATCCTAGAAGTTGTGACCCTCCTGCCTGGGCTGCCCCACTGGTGGGATTACAGGTGTGGACCACCACGCCCTGCTCAAGGCTTGTAGTTACGGGGTGGGGTTGCTTTCTGGGTTCCCAGCTTCTGTCTTTGAGACCTTGCTCTTTCTCTTCCCTTCTCTGGGCCTTCAGCTGTCACCACCGCTCTGTGTCCTGCGGCCCAGGGCCCCGCCTCTGCACCTCAGCCTCTCTGGCCTCCCCAGGGTACACATCGGAGCTTCCTCCCCAGCCTCAGGACTGCCCGGTTTGATGCTGGAGCCTTTTGGCCTGCCATGTTTGAAAGTGACAGCAGCTTGTGCTTATTTCCCGAAATGCGTTCTCTGTCCCCGAGTATGTTCAGAACCCCTTTGCCCAGGCCTGAGTGTACCTGGCAGTTGGCAGCGACAGTAGGGTGGCAAGTACAGCCGTGATTGTCAGAGTGTGGACCTCAGGCAGCGTGGAGGACCCAGGGTGCCCCAGGGAGGCGAAGCAGTGCAGTCGCCAAGGGGCCTAGAGGCTGCTTTTCCCTCAGGAGCGCCCAGCCACCAGGGAGGCGGTGAAGCGCTCTGGGGCTCCTTAGAAGCCCGGTGTGGTGGCGCATGCCTGGAATCCCAGTACTGAGACAGGAGGATCACTAGAGTCTGAGCTGTATAGCGAGACCAAAAAATTTAAAAAAGAAAAAAAAA